AAAAAAAAAAAAAGACTGGTAGAATCCCCAGACTATGGCCCTTAGACATCTTTCAAGCTAGGAACTGATAGTAAGCCCTGTGACCCAACTAGCAGCCAAATGATTAATTGGCCTATGAGGTGAACAGTAATATCAGGAAAGTACTCATAGAACAATCAAGCATATGAGATCAAGAGAACAGCATTTGCCCAGGGATAGAGCTAGGAAGATGGGAGGAGATCGGAAGGAAAGATGGAGGGAAGGGGTGGAGCGGGGAGGGAAGGGGTGGAGCGGGGAGAAAATGGGGAGAATGCTGTTACAGAGTGGGGATTGCAGTGACTGTTACAGTAAACAAACACACAACAAAACCCTATGAGCAGTTCTACTCTGCACACATGGGGTCACCAGAGTTAGAATCGACTTGACAGCAACTGGTCAGGTGGGAAGGGGTAGCATGGGGACATTGGGAGGGGATGACTAAGGGGGGTTTCTCTTGGGGGATGATGTAAATTGAGTGTAATGAGGATGACACAGCTCTGTGAGTCTATTAAAGCAGTGAATTGTACACTTTAAATGGGTGAACTGTATGGTATGTAAATCATACCTCAATAAAGCTACTAAAAAGGAAGAAAGGGAGGGAGAGAGGGCGGGAGGTCAGAAAGAGAGAGAGAAAGACAGGAAGGAAGGAAGAAGAAAAGGAAAGAGATAGAGAGGCAGGAAGCATACGTTTCCACTAAGCTTCCTACCTTGGGCTCAGTTTTGTCAATGCCCACGAGGAAGAGCAGGTGGGCCAGGAGCAGGCAGAGTGAGAGCTGCAGGTGGAGCGAGGTGCTGGTGTTCTGGATGGGCCGGCACAGGGCGAAGGTGAGGGCCGCCAGGAGGAGGCACAGCAGAGAGAGGCTCAGCCCCACGCGGGTGACCACGACCAGCACCGGATCCTCCTGGGTCCAGAGAGAGAGAGAGGAGAATGCAACTCATGCTGATCTTAGACCCTGTGGTTTCTAGCAGCTCTGTACTTAATAAGATCATTAAAACAAAACAAAACAAAACAAGCAGGAAACCTAAACGCAAACCCACTGCCACTGAGTTGATTCCAACTCATAGTACCTGACTTGGACATTTAGGATTGAGTAGAACTGACCCATAGGGTTTCCAAGGCTATAAATCTTTACGGAAACAGACTGCCTCATCTTTCTCCCATGGCGTGGCTGGTAGGTTTGAACCGCCAGCTTTTCAGTCAGCAGCTGAATACTTTAACCACTAAGCTATCAGAGCTCCTTTAAATAACTTTGCACATAAATATCTAATTACAGGATTAGAAGGATGAGGAGTCCCCAAGTGATGGAAACAGTTAAGTACTCAACTATTAGCTGAAAGATTGGCAGTTTGAACCTACTCAGAGGTGCTTTGGAAAACAGGCCTGGAGATCTGCTTCCAAAAGGTCATAGCTTTGAAAACTGTGGAGCAATTTCACTTTGCACACGTGGGGTCACCATGAGATGAGTCAGAACTGGCTCAACGGTAACCAACAACAGTGCTGACACATTGTGAAAATTGTAACTAATGTCACAGAACAATCTGTATAAACATTGTTAATGAAAAACATTGCCAAGAAATCATTCCGAGTCGTGGTGCCCCCTGCATGTCAGAGTAGAACATGTTCTATGGGGTTTTCAGTGGCTGAATGCTCAGAAGTCGGTTGCCAGGCCTATCTTCCAAAGAACCTCAGGGTGGACTTGAACTGACAACCTTTCAGTTAGCAACTGAGGACATTCAACATTGCAGCACCCAGGGACTCCCACCCCACCATAAGGTTCAAACCACAAAAACCCAAACTCACTGCTGTCAAGTTGAATCCTGAGTCAAAGAGACCCCTCCTTGGGTTTCTGAAGTGGTATCACTATGAAAGTAGATTGCCCAGTCTTCCTTCCAAGGAGTGGCCAGTGGGTTTGAACTGCCACTCTTCTGGTTAGCAGTCAAAAGCTTTAGGCACTACACTACCAGAGCTCCAACTATAAGGTTAGTATTATCATTTTTCCTTTTTCCAAATAAGGAAACTGAGGCTCCAAGAAGTAAAATTGTCCATAGTTACATGGCCAAAAACTGACTGAGCAAACAAATTCCCGAATCCTAGAACCTAACAACCACACTGTGCTTCCTGGCTAGATCATAAAATTATGTTGTTGTTGTTGTTGTTATGTGCCTTCAAGTCAGACCTGACTCATAGCGACCACTTCTTGGGTTTCCGAGGCAATATCACTGTGGAAGTAGATTGCCCCATCTTCCTTCCGAGGAGTGGCTGGTGGTTTTGAACTGCCAGCCTTCTGGTTAGCAGTCAAGTGCCTTAGCCACTATGCTACCAGAGCTCCCTCATAAAATTATAACTTTATGAAAAGCAAGAGCATAAAGCATTTTGTTCAACTTTTTTATAATTTCTATTTTTTTAGTAACTCATTGCCATTGAGTGGATTCTGAATTATGGCAACTGCATGTGTGTCAGAGTAGAGCTGAGCTCTGTAGGGTTTTCAGTGGCTGATATTTTGGAAGTAGATGGCCAGGCCTTTCTTCAGAGGCACCTCTGGGTGGGTTTGAACTACCAACCTTTCAGGGAGTAGACGAGGGCAAACCGTTTCTACCACCCAGGGCCCTTGTTGTTGTTGTTATGTGCTGTGGAGTCACACCTGACTCATAGTGACCTCTCCTTGGGTTTCCAAGGTGGTATCACTATGGAAGTAGATTGCTCATCCTTTCTTCCGAGGAGTGGCTGGTGGGTTTGAACCGCCAGCCTTCTGGTTAGCAGTCAACTGCCTTAGGCCCTACGCTACCAGAGCTCCTCAGGACCTTGTAGATAGACATTGTTCATAATCAAAACAATGTATTTCTTTTTAAAATCTCCCAGTGAACCCTGCTGTGCAGTGGAGTCTGAGCTCAATGTTAAGTGCACTTACAAACATACCGTCAGCACAACGGAGGCCATGAGGACGGCAAAGGTGGAGAGATGGCTGCAGCTGCATACAGTTTGTGTTCTATTCGAAAAGATGGCCTGGCAGCCTTCATCCGACCAGCCTGTCTCACGCCAGTAGACACAAAGTGGCTTTTTGCGTTCCCCTATCATCTAAAATAAAAAGCAATAATGTCACTTTGGTGACTAAGTTGCACTTGACCTAGTCCATGTTTTTTCAATTGCCTTATATGCATGTGAAATCTGGACAACTAAAAAGGAAGACAGAAGGAGAATTAATTGATGAGTGCTGGTGAAGAATATTTACCTTACCATGGACTACCAGAAGGAGGAACAGATCAATCTTAGGAGAAATCAGACCAGAATGTTTCCCAGGAGTGAGGATGGTGAGACTTCAGCCTGCTCACTTTGGTCGCATCATGGAGAAAGACCATTTGCTGAAGGATATTATGTTTGGTCAGCTAGAAGGTCATTGTAGACAAGGGAAACCCTCCATGAGATGCATCAACACAGTGGCTGCAACCACAGAATCAAGCACAGCAATCATCATGACAGTGTGGGACTGGCCAGTGTTTCATTCTGTTGTACATAAGGCTGCCGTGTGTTGGGGAGCTCTGGTGGCACAGTGCCTAAGGCACTTGACTACTAACCAGAAGGTTAGCGGTTCAAATCCACCAGCCACTCCTCGGAAGGAAGGTTGGGCAATCTACTTCTGTAGAGGTACTGCCTCGGAAACCCAAGGAGGGGTTGCTATGAGTCAAATTGACTCAACGGCGGTGAGTTTGGTTTTTGGTTTTGTCCATGAGTGGAGCTGACTCAAAGGCACCTAACAACAGCATTGTTGATTGATGACATATCATCATTTAAAATTAGAAGTTTCAAGTCAAGAGCCTTATCATTGTGATTGATGGTGTTTTATGAGTGTTGTCAGGTAATGACTGCCAGGATACATGAGTTATTTTTTCCTTAGCATTCACTGGATGTGAAGTGTGGATTGTTGAGATCCTCGCTGAATTTGGAAGCAGATCACCAGGGCTTTTTTCCTAGTCTCAGTCTGGAAGCTGCTCTGAAACCTGTTGAGCATCATAGCAACACCAAGCCTCCACCGACAGATGGGTGGTGGCTGCACATGAGACGCACTGGTCAGGAATCAAACCTGGGTCTCTTGTCGAGAAGGTGAGAATTCTACCACTGAACTAGCAGTGCATAATCATTATTAATATTAACTCATTCAATCCTCAAAACAACCCGGTGCAGTATGTATTGTTGTTTTTAGGTGTTGTTGAGTTCTTAACTCACAGCGACCCCGTGTACAGCAGAACGGAACACGGCCCGGTGCTGGGCCAGCCTCACAATCCCTGCTGTGCTTGAGCCCACTGTGACAGCCACTGTTTCAGTACATCTCGTGGAGGGTCCTCCCCTCCCCTTTACCAAGCATGATATCCTTCTCCAGGGAATGGTCCTTTTTAACAACATGACCAAAGTATGAGAGACAAAGTCTGGCCATTCTTGCTTCTAAGGAGCATTCTGGCTGTACTTCCCCCCAGATAGATTTGTTCATTCTTCTGGCAGTCCACGGTGTTTTCAGTATTCTTTGCCAACATCACAATTTCAATGCATCAATTCTTCTGTGGTCTTTCTTATTCATTCTCCAGCTTCCACATGCATATGAAGTGATTGAAAACACCGTGGCTTGGGTCAGGCTCACCTAAGTCTTCAAAGAGACATCTTTGCTCTTACACACGTTAAAGAGGTCATTAGCAGCAGATTTGCCCAGTGCAATATGACATCTGATTTCCTGATTACTGCTTCCATGGGTGTTGATTGTGGATCCAAGTAATATGAAATCCCTGAAAATTTCAATCTTTTCTCCTCTTATCATGATGCTGCTTATTGCTCCAGTTGTGAGGATTTTTGTTTTCTTTATGTCCGTGGTGCAAATGGTTTTTGTTCAACTGCTAACTTAAAGGTTGGTGGTTCAAACCCATCCAGTGGTACCACAGAAGAAAGGCCTGGTGATGTGCTTCCATTATGACAGCCAAGGAAGCCCTATGGAGCAGTTCTAGTCTGTAACACATAGGGTCACCACGAGTCAGAATCGACTCAATGGCAACTAACAGCAATTAGGATTGAAGCCCTTCTGCCCCCTGCATTCTTAGTCTGTTGATAGAATAATTACCATCATGTAGATTTTGAGGGTGGCAATGAACCAATCTGCTATAAAAGACCTCTTGAAAATCTTACAAAGCAAAGATGTCACTTTGAGGACTAAGGTGTGCCTGATCCAAGCCACAGTATGGTCAGTCTTCTCAGATGCATGTGAAAACTAGACAATGAGAAGGGAAGACTGAAGAAGAATTGCTGCCTTTGAATCATGGTGTTTGGTGAATAATAGTGACCATACCATGGGCTGCCAGAAGAATGAGGAAATCTATCTTAGAACAAGTGCAGCCAGATTGCTCCTTAGAAGTGAGGATGGTGAGACTTTGTCTCACGTTACTTTGGGTACATGATCAGGATGGACCAGTCCCTGGAGAAGGAAGTCATGTTTGGTAAAGGAGAAGGTCAGCAAAAAAGAAGGACATCTCCATGAAGTAGACTGATATGGTTGCTGCAGTAATGGACTCAAACAGACCTACGATTGTAATGATGGCGTAGGATGGGGCATTTTGTTCTGTTACACAAAAGGTTGCTATGAGTTGGAGCCAACTTGAAGGAAACTAACAACAATTATCCAAGCATCTGGCTTGATCTACACTCGCCCTGTGTCATCCCAAGTAAACCAGCCAAAGCAGAAAGAACTGATGGTAAGAAAATACTTAGCCATCCTGAGTTTTACAGATGTGGTGATCAGGGATTCCCAGGCACTCAGTCAGTTTGATTTCCGCTCACCTGTAGGTGTTGAAAAGTGAAGTTCACAGGTGTGGCCAGGAGCACATTCTCCTTGTATCCTACTGCGCCACTGACTACCTTGGAGTTGACATGGAAGTTGCCTAGCTCTTCACCAGTAATTAGGTTTTCCTTAGACACAAATGAGCCATTTATGATGGACCCCATAGAGCTGTAGGAGATGAAAGTGACAGCTCCTGAAAGGAAGGAAGGAAACAATCAATCAAAGGAGAGAAATATGGGAAAGTGTCACTAAATCTAAGGATTACCAGGAGTCAAGCACAGAGTCTAAGGATTACCGGAGTCAGGCACACGATCTAAGGATTTACTGGGAGTCAAACACAGAATCTGAGTAAGTCTCCCCTTATGTTGTATCTCCTGTATCGTTGTAAATCTCAATCCATGTACCTGTGGTTGTCACCCCATTTGGGAGCAGGGTTTTCTCTGTTATGTTAATGAGGCAGTATTCCTGTAGGGTGTTTTGAGGCAATCTCGTCTGAGAGATAAGGAGCAGATTAAGCAGGCAGAAGGAGCCCTGGTGGCACAGTGCTTAAGGCAGTTGGCTGCTAACCAAAAGGCTGGCTGTTTGAACCCACTAGCCACTCTCCTGGAGAAAGATGAAGCATGAGGCAGTTGGCTTCCATAAAGCCAACTGGAAACTCCATGGGGCAGGTCTCCTCTATACTACAGGGTGCCGATCCTGTGAGTCAGAATCAACATGGCAATGGGTAGGTAATGGGTGGTGCAAGGGTAAGAGCTCAGCTGTTAAAGTATGGTGGTTTGAACCCACCCAGAGGTTCTGTGGGAAAAAGACCTGGTGATCTGCTCCCATAAAGATGACAGCTTAGGGAACCCTATGGTGCAGTTCCACTCTGTCCTCTAGGGGCGCTGTGAGTCAGAATCGACTCCACAGCAGTGGGTTTGGTTTGGGCTTAGTTTTTGTAAAGATTGACAGCCTTGGAGACCCTGTGGGGTTCATTCACTATGAGTCAGAATAGACTCCGTGGTGGTGGGAAGCAAGCAGCAAGAAAACAGAGATGGGGGAAGGGAGATGCCACATGAAGATCACCAAGGAGCTGGCAACAGAAGCAGAGAAGAGATAAGGACCCTCCCTCAGGGAGAGAGGGGAAAAGAGGTGGGGGGAGAGAGAGAGGGTCTGCCTTTCGAGCCAGTGCCTTGAATTCAGACTTCTAGCCTCCTCAGATGTGCGAGAATAAATTTGTGTTTGTTAAAGTCACCCCCTTGTGGTATTTATGTTATAGCGGCACTAAACAAAAACAAACCCAACTGCTGTTGAGTCAATTCTGATTCACAGCGGCCCTAGAGGACAGAGGGGACCTCTGGTAGCATAGTGCCTAAGGCACCTGACTGCTAACCAGAAGTCTGGAGTTCAAACCCACCAGCCACTACTCAGAAGGAAGATTGGGCAATCTACTTCTATAGTGATACTGCCTCGGAAACCCAAGGAGAGGTCGCTATGAGTCGTATCTGACTCGACGGAAGTGAGTTTGGCTTTTGGTTCTAAAGGACAGAGTAGAACTGCCCCATAGGGTTTCCAAGGCTATAATCTTTACAGAAGCAAAGCCCAAACCAAACCCACTGCCCTGGGGTCAATTCTGACTCTCAGTGCCCCTAGAGGACAGAGTAGAACTGCCTCTCAGGGTTCCTAAGGCTGTCAATCTTTATGGAAACTCACTGCCTCATCTTTCTTGCACAGAATAACTGGTGGGTTCAAACCACCGACCTTTTGGTTAGCAGCCCAATGCTTTAATGACTGCACCAGCAGTGTGACCCAATAACCCAAATCTAGAGACACCCAGGCTTCTTTTACCCCCTGTTCCTCCTCCAGTGATGACAGTACAGCCAACGTCCATGGAGTCCCCTTTGACCTTCAGTTCAAATGTCTCCTCTTTCCATTCACAGTCTCTCTTGAGGGTCAGTGTTTCGATAGCTGAGAAACCAAAAAAGTCTGAATGAATGTTGATATCCTTATAAACCAAAACCAAACCAAACTTAGTACCATCGAGTCGATTCTGAATCATAGCGACCTTCCTGGGTCTCTGAGGCTGTAAATCTTTATGGAAGTAGATCACCCATCTTCTTTCTGTGGAGCAGCTGGTGGGTTTGAACCACTGATCTTCTGGTTAGCAGCCAATGCCTTATCCACTATGTCACCAGAGCTCCCTGGTAGCTTTATAATCCCTTATTTAAAAAAAATATAATCCTATGGAATTCTCATTTAAAAAGGACAGATGTTGGAGCTTTAGTAAGTAGAACTTGGTTGACATGTGTAGGGTTGCTGACTTTATTTTGGGAGTTAGTCACTCCTCAGAAGGAAAATGGGGCAATCTACTTCTGTAGTGATACTGCCTCAGAAACTCAAGGAGGGGTCGCTATGAGTTGGGGCCGACTCGATGGCACATAACAACAACAACTCCCATTTGAGGGAACAAAGTTATTAAGGTGGGATAGGGTGAGGCTGGCATGAGAACTGTGGTTATCTCTTTTAACCCAAGCCCAGGTGCTGTTTCTTTTTGATCATTTGACCATCCGAGAGGGAGTCCCTGGTGGAGCAAATGATTAAATGTTTGGCCACTAACTGAAAAGTTGGTGGTTTGAGCCCACACAGCAGAAGAAAGGCCTGGTGATCTGCTTCCATAAAGATTATAGCCAAGAAGACCCTATGGAGCAGTTCTACTCTGTTGCATATGGGGTTGCAGAGAGTCGGAATTGACTCAACTGCCACAGGACATATCAGTCACCCCAGGGTCACTCTTCGTTCTTCTTCTCTCTCATACCCACATCCAATGGGGCAGCATAGCTGATGACTGTTGGCTGAAACACACCCAGGATGTGAACTTGCTCACTACCCAGATCTGAGCCACCATTATGTATTCCCAGGCTTAATACAATCACCTCCTAATCGCTTCTTCCACTGCCCATGAGAAACTGGTAGGCTTCTGGCATAGTTACCGTTACAAGCCAAATTGGCTAGGCTATAATCCTCACTGGTTTGGCAGACACTGTGTAATCACCTTCCATTCTGTGATCTGATATAAGCAGCCAATCAGTAGAAAGGGGAGTTTCCTCGGGGTGTGTGGCCTGCCTTCTGTATATAAATAACTCACTGCCACTGAGATGATTATGGCTCATAGTGACCCGGTCTGACAGAGTAAAACTGCCCCATAGGGTTTCCAAAGCTGTAAATCTTTATGGAAGCAGACTGCCTTGTCCTTCTTCCATGGAGCAGCTGGTGGGTTTGAACCACCAAGCTTTCTGTTAGTAGCCGAATGCTTTAACCACTGTACCACCAGAGTTTCTGTATATAAATAAGTGTTCTGTAAAAGCTTACTCGCTCTCGGCCCTGCACTCAACCTTGCCTGAACTCCCATTCTTGTGAAATTAAGTCTGCAGAAGTCATGTATAAGCCATTTTCTTGAAGTAAATTTTTTTTTTTTTCTCTCTCTCTCTGTATATCTATACTCTGTCCTGGGAGAAGTGCAGCTAGAATACTCCTTGGAAGCGAGAATGGCCAGATTTTGTCTCACATACTTTGGTCATAGAGGAAGCAGAGGCAGGCATCCAGGTAAGGCCAGGGACCCAGGCAACACCCCTCCCAAGTGGCAGGAAAGAGGCAGGGATCTATGTAAGGGGAGAGTGGGGAGGGTAGGGAGGTTTTGAACAGCTAAGGGAGACAAACTTGTCTGTCAGTGTGCCCTACTGTGGTGGTATGTTGCTGTGAGGCTTGAGGCTGTGCCACCGGTGTCTCAAACCCAGCAGGGTTGCACATGGTGCAAAGCTTTCACCACAACTTACAGACTGAGACAGACCAGGAAGAAGAAGGAGGCCATCCACTTCTCAAAGAATTGGCCAGAGAAACACTGATTCATTACTGTGCAACTTTATGAATAGCATGGAAACATTGTCCGATACAGTGCAGGAGGATAAGCCACTTAGGTCGGAAGGCTCTCAAAATAGGACCAGGAAAGAGCTGCATCATCAGAGTAGAACCTGCCTTAATGATATGGATAAGGTAAAGCTTTCAAGACCTCCATTTGCTAACGTGGCATGACTCAAATTGAGGAGAAACAGCTGCAAACATCCATTAATAATTGGAACATGGAATGGATGAAGCATGAATCTAGGAAAATTGCAAGTTGCCAAAAATGAAATGGAGCGCAAAAAGATTGACATCCTAGGCGTTAGTGAGCTGAAATGGACTGGTTTTGGACACTTTGAATCAGACAACCATATGATCTACTATGCCTGGAATGACAATTTGAAGAGGAATGGTGTGGCGTTCATCATCACAAAGGATGTTTCAAGATCTGTCCTGAAGTATAATGCTGTCAGTGATAGGATAATATTCATACACCTACAAGGAAGATCAGTTAATATGATTATTATTCTAATTTATGTACCACCAAAGCCAAAGATGAGGAAATTGAAGACTTTTATCAGCTTCTGCAGTCTGAAATTGACCAAACATGCAATCAGAATGTGTTAATTATCACTGGTGACTGGAATTAAAAAGTTGGAAACAAAGAAGAATTGCCAGTAATTGGAA